ATATAATATAATATAATATATATATATATATATATATATATATATATATATTGTATTATTTTGTAATATATGTTTATCTTTGTATTATATTTAAAATAGTATAATAAATATAACACTACTATTCAAAAGTTTGGGGTCCGAATGAGGTATTTTTAAATATTTTTTTAAAAGAATTTTCTTATTCTCACCAAAGCTGAATTTATTTGAATAAAAAATACAGTAAAAACATTAATATTGTGAAATTTACAATAAGTGTTTTAATATATTTTAAAATGTAATTTATTCCTGTGATCAAAGCTGAATTTTCAGCATCATTACTCCAGTCTTCAGTGTCACATGATCCTTCAGAAATCAATATTTCTTTCTTTTTAAAATCATAATACTTTTTTTTCAGGATTCTTTGATGAATAGAAAGATCAAAAGAACAGCTTTTATTTGAAATAGTGTCTTTTTTGTAACATTATAAATGTCTTTACTGTCATTTTGTTCAGTTTAAAGCATCCTTGCAGAATGAAAGTATTCATTCTTTAAAAACATCTTATTGACCCCAAACTTTTGAAATTGTATAGTAATATAAATGAAATAATAATATAAATAATATTAAAACCAATAATATCATAGCCAACTAAATGAACAAAATGACGGGCTATAATATATTATTTCCTGAAGAATATTCTGGTTCCCTCAGAAATACATCACATTACTAAAGTTAAATGCATTGCAAATTATTATCATAATTGACATTTATTGCACTGGTATTTTTCAGTTTTTCTGAGCTCACCGTGGCATTTGACCTCAGGGTTTCCCCAGAACAGCTCTCTACACTCTCGACAGGTTCTGCCGCCAAACCCAGGTTTACAAGAGCACTGGCCCATAATCTACAGCACAGAGAATAAAAAAATACAGATTAATCCCTGTGTGCACTTTATTACAATCCAAAACATGAGATGGGTGTGATTGTGATCTAACCTCATTGCAGGAGGAGCTGAATGAATGGTTGAGGTCGCAGTCGCAGGCCTCACAGCCTTTACCGCTGCCCATATTCCACGTGTCCGGTGCGCACTGATCGCAGTGCTGGCCCACCACATTGGGAAGGCACTGACACTGGCCGCTGTTTAAGTCACAGTTGCAGTTACCCGGAGAGGGGCACATCTCTTTAACAGTGCCCATATGATTACACACACACTCTGAGAAAGACCACGACAAAACATTAGAAACTCAGCAGGCTAAGAGTCCAATGCATAGTTATACTAGATGCACAAAATGTAAGTTTTTAAATGATTTAACTTTTTTTTTTTTTATAATAGTAAAAAAAAAACTTTAACTAGACTTCAAAAGTATTAATCTCTATCTTTATGTTTTAAATAAACAGAATTATAAATCAGGCATTGTATCGACAATAATACTTTTATAATACAATTTTATAAGCCAAAAATATATAATAAAAATATCTGGATCATATTTTTGAAAAAACACTGATTTCTTCATAAACTTACTCCTGCAGCTCTGTGTCAGTGCATTGCCGTAATAACCGAGCTTGCAGCGGTTGCAGCCCTCGCCTTCTGTGTGGTACAGGCATTTGAGACAAGCGCCCGTACGGGCGTCACAGGACTCCGGGTCCATCATGTCAATGTTGTTGTTGCACTGACAGGGCCGGCATTCTCCACCCACCTCGTGTGGGTTTCCGTAATAACCAGGGGCGCATTCTTCACACCTGGCACCTATGGGTGACACCAGACAAGAGGTGTGTTAAATTATAGCTCTCACTGCTACAAAATTACATATTACAAGACAAAATATCACCATATTCTTCCACATACACTATCGTTCACTAAAAAAAAAAAGGTTTTTGTAAGAGGTATCTTCTGCTCACCAAGGCTGCATTTATTTTATCAAGAATACAGCAAAAACAGTAATATTGTGAAATATTATTACAATTTAAGCTGTTTTCTATATGAATATGTTTTAAAATGTAATTTATTTCTGTGATCAAAGCTGTATTTTCAGCATCATTACTGCAGACTTCAGTGTCACATGATCCTTCAGAAATCATTCTAATATGCTGATTTGCTGCTCAAGAGACATTTCCTATTATTATCAAACTGTTTTGAAAATAGTTTTTGCTGTTTAATGCGTGTCGAAACTGTCATACACTACTAAGTAAGTGGTTTGGGGGTAAGTAATTTTTTTAAGGAATTAATAACTTCAACAAGGATGCATTAAATTGATCAAAAGTGACAGTAAAGACATTTATTTTGTTACACAAGATTTCTACAGTATTTCAAATAAATGCTGTTCTTTTAAACTTTCTATTCATCAAAATAAATGTGCCTGAAATGCGTGTCAAAACTGTCATACACTACTATTCAAAAGTTTGGGGGTAAGTAATTTTTTTAAGGAATTAATAACTTCAACAAGGATGCATTAAATTGATCAAAAGTGACAGTAAAGACATTTATTTTGTTACACAAGATTTCTACAGTATTTCAAATAAATGCTGTTCTTTTAAACTTTCTATTCATCAAAATAAATGTGCCTGAAAAAAAGTACCAGTTTCCACAAAAATATAAAGCAGCACAACTGTTTTCAACATTGATCATAGAAAATGTTACTCACACTGACCGCTGGCCTCATGGCAGAAAGAGTGGACGGACCCCTCAGGACTGCAATCACATGCTAACCAACCACAAAGAGACCACAATTAGGCTTGTGAAAGACTTTTCAGAAATACATGACACAGTCTGTACTATCGCGACATTGACATGCTGTACTTACGCCTGCAGCCTTGCGGACCAAAGAGGAAGGTCGCTGGGGCGCATTTGTCGCAGTTCCTGCCAACCACGTTGGGACGACACTGGCACTGGCCACCGCTCGGGTCACAAACCGTGCTAAGAGACCCCTGCGGGTCACACTGACAGGCTGAGAGAAACAGAGGAGAAAAAGAAATTTAGTGTTAATTCAGGATAATTGGGGCATTTTTTCCCAGTCATTTCAAAGGCAAAAAGTCCTTTACCTGAATTCACCCTAAATAAACTTGACCAATATTAGTGTGAGGATTGATCTGGTTGGGCTTTTATTTATTTATTTAGTTTTTCACACAGCTATCCATATTTCTCTACATTCTAGAGATCAGCCAATAATATTTTTTACAAGATTCAAGGATTTTTCCTTACTTTTTGTAATATAGGCTCAACCGATAAATTGATACTGTATGCAGCTTTTTGAGGTCCACGTGTTTAAAAGTCCATAAATTATACTAACGTTTACTATTTATTGCATTATTGATAGTCATCTACATACTCTGTGGAAATTAATTTGCTATCTCCAGGAGTGAGTGTACGTTTTTTTTTTTGTAAAGGCAAAGAAATTCTTCAGGTAAAATATGCATTATTACACAACAATGTTTATAAAATAATAAATAATATCTAATTTTTAATTTTAATATTTAATAATATTAAATAATATCTTCAGATATAATTATTATATATTTAAAAGTTATATATAAAAAAAAAAGATTGCCTCCTTATATAGCTTCAATGTTGTTTGCTACTTATTAAAGTGTAGCCTTGAAATGTGGCTTAATTTTCCTAGTAGGGAGTTCTAGGGCTGTATTTTTTACATAATGTATCATATGAAGCTTGACAAGTTACAGTTTCTTAAAGTATGACTTGAAGACGTCTTTTCAGTTGTAGTGTGTTATGTTGTGTTTGATTGTGGAAGTCAACATTTTCACACTGATATTTATAGTCAGCAAAGCTTGTGTTCTGATTTACGCCTCTAGCCATGTCTTTTGCTTTTCTTCTTGTCCTGACAGTTGATGAAATTGTAAAGTCTCAGACAGGAAGCCTGTAGAGCAGTATAATTATGCCAGAGGCCCCATCACAAGCTCTGACATGAGGCAGGAAAGCACCTCTGATGAGAGACAACAGTCGGAGGAAAATGAAAGCTGAATGAACGATGACAGAATGAAGACTGGCGCGTCTATCATAAAGAGAAAAGGGGATTCTTATGCGGTTAGAGAATGGAGCCAATAATGACAGTGTGAGAATCTGTATGTGTGTGCTTTAAACAAAGTTGAAAGATATCAAGCGTAGCGTTAGTTCTGGCCGGTCACGTTAGTCAAGCTCGCATCAGCTGACTCTCAGCTGATCCCCATCTACCTATAGGAATACGACACCTATCTAAGCATTCATATATAAGGTCCCTCAGTATTATCAGCAGTTTTTGCATTGCTCAATAGCTAATTACCCTCCTCCATCCCCA